TAAAACAAAAGTAGTTTGCAGTAGGATAATATATTTACAATACAATGTATTTGTTTCTTTTTTTTAATCATTTATCCCAAATGAGGCAATAAAGCCACTAAAATGCAAGAGGTCACTGAATGTTAGAGTATATGAGAAAACTGTTGTATTCAGGGGAAAGGACAATAAAAGAACAAGAATTAAGGCAGAAAATAATGATTGATATGGTATTTAAATTTTTGAATTTCATACATACTGAAAAGCGAGAAGATAGTTCCACAGGTAAGAAGTGAGAGAAAAGGAACCATTAGCAAAGAACTTACAGTTACACCTCAGGGCCATTTCAACTGTAAAATGATAAGACCATGCCGCTAATTTAGTACTACATGGTTGTTAGCAAAAGCAACAGTCTAACATGCAAATTATGAATTTGAGAAGACAAAATCAAACGAGTACAACAATTTAAATCTCTGGGAAGTGTTTTAACAGATGACGGATCGTGGGACACTGAAAAATCAAAAGATGCCTTCCAAAAGGCTGAACAAAGTATTAAGCTGAAAAATTTTATTATAAACATAGAAAAGAGTACTGAACTGCTATGTAATATCAGTCATCCTATACTGGACAATCTTCTCAAAGCCAAAGAGAAGCATAAGAAATGTGGTTCTACAGAAGGATGCTGAGAATAACATGGACCAAAAACAGGAGCAATGGCAAAGTTTTAGAGAAAATGGAAACAAAAAAGACAGATACTTAACATCAGAAAGAAATAGTTGAAATTTCTAGGGCACATAACGAGGAAAGAGGGCTTGGAAAAATTGTTACTCACAGGACAGATTGAAGGCAAGAGGGATAGAGGAAAACAATGCATAACATACCTAGTGAGCTTGAGTTAATTATTAAGTGCTAGAAAGAACAGGAAATTGTGGAGAGCCATGATCACCTATGTCTGGAGGGACACGGCACATAGAAAAATATATTAAAAAAAAAATGTTGATCTTATGAGAAGATCAGATAAAAAAATATATAAAATCAAGAATTATTTATACTATTTATATACAATCTACTGTCCTCATCTTTGTTGTTGTTATCACAACATTTCGGCTGTTGAAACGGCCTTCATCAGGTCTATTAATTTGGGTAATCTACAGGGAATTCTGAAGTGAACCCTTTACTTAATCTATACAGTTAGACTATCCTCATTCCACTGCCCATGTCTATAGATATTTTGTCTGGTTCTTATTTTTAGTACTGCTCAGTTATTGCTTGCCTTCTGTCTCTTGAGGCCAAGTACACACTGCCCATTTTTAAATAGGCAGAATCAGAAATCTTGAAAACTTAATATCTGATTTAGCACCTCCTTATTTTTACTTTGCTTGGTTTAATAATGGCTGTTATATGATAGTCTGTGTAGTTGCAATGAAAAGAAACTGAATTTAAGATGAAAGAAATCCGAATCTAAATTAATAACAGTTGACAAATCTTTGCTTTAATGTAATGACATTTAAACCAAATACATTGCCATGTTTCTTTTAAGAAAAGCAAAAGCAGCTATTTTATTTCTTAATATATACAAAATTTATTTTAATCAACCAGTTTATGTAGTAATAAAAATGAAGTTATTTTTTGTTTTTAATGACTGTCATGGATTAATTAATTACATTTTGTTTTTTTGGACTTGCAAGGTATACTGAGTTTGATCTTAGAGCCTTTGTTATTGTGTGTGCACTTATTAGTAAGGTTTTTATATAGAAGATATACACAATATCAAATGATTATTTTTTTTTTCTTAATAATTATCCTTTTGTTTGTTGCATGTTTTTGTTTACATTTTTTTTTACCTGTTGTACTCTGTGAACTCAAGCTGTTTTGCTAATTTCTAACAAACTGCCAGAGTTATATTCTCCAGTGCACAGAAGTATTCCAGTATTTTCCTCCCAAGATTATGATCTAAAATCCACCTTGCAGTTATATATTTTATACCCTTGTTAGAAGAAAAAAAAATGAAAAAAAAAGGAAGCTACATTTATTTCTTGCATAAGCATTGTTTTTTGATTTTTAATAAATCTTTATCAAATGAAAAATTTTGAAAGAAAAACTGGATTATTTTATATTGTTTATTTTGAAATTATCATAGATATAAATTTGATTAATTTGTTTAGGAAATGAAAAATACATGATATTGGACACTGAAGTTGATTTTCATAATTTTTATTTTTTTTACAAATATATTTTTAGAAATCCCTGGCTATAGTTGCTTCTAACTGCTTCTGTTTTATTGTTGCACAGAATTTTCCTGAACACCACACTTAAACCAACCGCACAGTTCAAATGTATTTCTTTACAATATTTTTTCAAAGACAATTTAAACTATAAAAAAGGAATAAAATGTAATTCAAAGCTGAAATTTGTTGAATAAAATCTTTAGAAATATTGATTACGGAATCAATTTTGAAGTCTTTCAATAAAGAAGAAATAAAAATGTAATTATTTAAATACAAACAGTAATTTGTTTCATATCAAAATGATTTAGAATATTATTCAATAAATTTACAAATTTTAGTTATCAAGCAAAGGCAACACAATTAAGTGAAACACAAACCCACATCCTCTTTTTATATATATATTTATATATATATATATATATATATATATATATAATATTATATATATATATATATAAAGAACAATTTTAGGTGAAAAAAGTATGATGAAAAGTTTTATGCAATGCATTTCATCTTTTAGGACTTCATTGGACTAAGCCCTAAAGGATAAAATGTGTCAGATATATATATATATAGATATATATATATATATATATGTATATATTATATATATATACACACACACACACACACACTACAATTCAAAAGTTTGAAGTCACCCTCAGAATTAGCACCTGATGAGCTTGACAGAAGAGTGAAAAAATGAAAAAAGAAGTCATTGAAAAAAAGAATGGAATCAATTATCAAACTTACTTTGAGAAACTTTTGCAATAAATGCCAAAAATTTGTGCTAAGGTTAAAGGAGCATATTTTGCCCAGAGCAAAATTTTATCATAAAAATGCTTTTTTTCTTTTTGTCATAATAAAATTTCAAATAAAAAAAAATTATATCTCACTTTTTTTTTTTATGTATAATAATTTTCTCATATTTAAAGTACAAAACATCTACTTTTGGGGTCAATTTTAAAAATTACCAGAAGTGGCCTCAAACTTTTGAACTGTAGTGTGTGTGTGTGTGTGTGTGATGGACCACTTCTATAGTTTTCAATGAATGATGGTGCAATAGTTCTGCTCCTAGAACAGCCAGACTACTACACACACACACACATATATATATATTTGATTATATTGCTGAAAGCTTGTCTAGAAGCATCCAAACTTTTTACAATTGAATGTAAAGAACTGGTGCACATAGTGTGCCACTAGGTACCCACACCAACCTCCTCAAGTATTGAATTCAGAGTTGTCCTTCCTCTGCACTTATTGCTAATTAACAACAAAAAGCCCAGTTTTCCCTACAATTTAACCTATAGGTGTGGGGAAAACAGCTGGTTTCACCTTTTTTGTCCAAGTGAATGTAACTCATATATATATATATATATATACACACACACACACACTGTAGGCCAAAGGATTTGATCCCACCATATGGATTTAATAAGTTTAATAACTTCTTTGGTTTAATTAATTCCTACTAAGCTAGGATTCTGAAAATATGTAACCCATTAGTTCATGGCATTCACTTATTTAAAGAGGTGGGGGTGACCTAAAATTTTAAATCTACCAGCCCTAAAATCATCATTAGCCATCAAGTTAGAGTAGACAAAAAGAGCTAAAGTTTTTAAGGAAACTTTATACAGTAATGGATTATTTTTGTTGTTATTGAATGTATGATAAAACCCTTCAGGTAGACAAGGTCTCACTGGCCCAAAGTGAGATAGTAAATTAGTTTTTGAAAAAGGCACATAATGTTTAATTTTTAGGCAATTCTTTAAAATTCTGAGGGTATGCTCCAAACTTTAAACTTATAACAAACACACGTGTGTGTGTGTGTGTGTGTGTGTGTGACTACTTATTATGTTAAAAATAAAAAATAAAACATAAGCCAATATCTTAACATAAGTGCTTGATATATCATATTTTGTTGGGATATACAGAGTATATTTTTATCTAAATAATTTAAAAGTAAAGACACTGTTCAACTGAAAACAGAACATTGTATTTGTAATTGGTGAACTCAATTATAAAACAAAAACTAAAAAATGATTTGCCCTAAATTGTTTTTGTTTCATTATTTACTTCCTTGAAACTCAAACATAATACTGAATAATCCAGTTGTTTTACAATGCAGTGACTAGAATTCATCATCACATGTCCTGCAACTCTTTAGGGTCATAGGAGCCCCACATGTATTGCAGCCATAGCAGCAGTGGCATGTCTTGGGCAAGATAGCCTGACAAAACTTCTTCAGACTAGTTTAGAATTCAGAGTGTTCACTCTCTTAGACTGGTTACTAACCAAAGCTATAGAGCCCAGTTTGTTCTATTTCATCCAAAGCTTGGGGAGGGGTAAGTGATGGATTCATACCTTTCCCACGGGTATTTGCATGTAAGTGAATTTAAGGAAAGCCCAAATCTCTTAAAGGCATGAATTCTTCTCTTGTTCTTTGAGCTATAGGAAGTTATCTTGACCATAGCCTTCTAACATGCCATATTAATATAGGTAAAAAAAAAAAAAAAAAAATGAATAAATTGATTTGTTGATTCATTTTCTACGGCTTATCAACCCCTTTCAGGCTATTTAAAGCCAGGAAATATAGATAAAAAAACAGGAACAACAACCTACCTTGTGTAATAAACTTACTTGCTCAGATAATTATATTCCTATCGATAAATAATAAAGCCTGCTAAGAGCAAATAGTGTAATGGTATTATTTGACGGAATTCAGGATTTATTATAAGAGCATACACATAAAGATAGATTAATAAGCATATTGAAATAAAAATCTGGAGATCCTTTTGATGTTGAAACACCAATTCTCATCTGATTATCAATGCTAAGCAATGTCGAGCCTGGTCAGTACCTAGGTGGGTGACCGCTTGGGAATACTAGGTGCAGTAACCTTGGATGTACAGATGATATAATGGATAACAGCTTGAAAATGAAAATTGAAGAGTCGAGTTCCAATTTCAGAGTTGTTCATTTTATTCACTTAGGAAACATGAATACACCTTTTCTCCCCACAGCTATGGGTTAATTAGTAGGGCTTGTATCAGTAAACTGTTATAAGCTCCAAAAAATTCTTACACTCTAAAATTAATTTCTGAATTGAAATAACTTGCAAAAGGTTGATAAAGCACAAAAAACTTAATCACTCAATGATGAATAGAAATAAAATTTTGTATATTTGTGTCAGTTAATTTTTGATATTTTTGAATAAGAAGGTACCATTAAGCTTATTTCAAAATGTCTCAAGTGTATGTGTCCAAAAATAACTTCTTTTTACCACATATTGCTAGTGGTAGATATTTTTTATAAATCAAATTTACCCCATGTAAAGCAGTGAAATAACCGAAATAAGGGGTTACTGAGTGTGAAAGAATTAGAAAACAGAAATATTAAGGAATAGAAGAGCAATCAAGTAGACAGATAATTATTGACACTGCATTTAAATTTTTGAAGATTGAGGTCAGCTTGAAAGCATGGAACCGGAAAAGTGTTCCACAAGCAAGAAGTGCAAGAGAAGAAACTGTTAGCATAGAACTTATGGTTTTATCTATTCAACTGTAAATTGATGAGAGTTTGTTGCCAATCTAGCACAGCACTTCATAAAGACCGGGTACCATATGGAAGAGCTCATTTGAACAATTACCATGAAAGTATTTATAGAAAAGGCACAGGGAAGCAACTTTACAGTGATAGGAAAGTGATTGAAGCAGAGACGCGATGTCAGGACCAATAATATTGCTGATTCTTGTTTGGATTTTATCAAGAATCTCTAAATATGTAGCAGAAGCACTGGACCATATGTGGCAGCAAATATTCTAATCATAGATGAATGGTAGACTTATAGATATGCAAGATTTTCTACCTTGATTTCAAACTGATTTTTCTCTCTGGAATCTATCATTTTATTATGTAAGGTTAAAATAAAGAAAGAAAGAAAGAATATTCTTTAATTTTCATATGAGTTGATAAAGTTATTTTCTTTTATAATTTATGATCCTAAAATAAGAGAAAATATTGAACAGATATTGGCTCTTGATTTGACATTCAAGAACTTCTCAGAACATAAGTCCTAACAGAAATATGTGATATAGGAGACAGATTTTCTTTTCTGGAGAAAGAGTAAAGTATCGCCATATGTATCATTTCTAGTAACATGGAGATATCTTAAACTGTATCCTATAAATATTTTAAACTGAAAATTGTTGGCTTATGGTCACATCACATTAAACAGAGTTTTGCATATGATCATCAATGGCAAGCAATGTCGAGTTTGATCAGTATTGAAATGTGTGACTGCTTGGAAAATACTAGGTGCTAAAAGTTTTTATGTGTGGGTGGTGTAATAATTGGCTCAGAATTGTTAAGTGGACTGCTGGATTCCAGTTCCCATTGAGTTCATTATATTTACTCATGTGCAAACACCCTTGGGAATGCTATGAATCCACTTCTTTTCCTCCCAGCTATGGGTTAGTAAGTAGTTGTATCACTAAACAATTATTATCTCAAAAAAAAGTTCTTAAAATCAAAAAAATATTTTCTGGCCTTTAATAAGCTCCAATGGTTTGATAATCCGTAGAAAACAATCATGAAAATTATTGAAAACATTTTACAAGGTGATGAAACAGCTCTTTAATTTAATTTTAGTATTTGCCCAAACATTAGTAAATAATAAAATATGATCTGAGAAAAATTCATTTTTTCTTTTTTAATTAACTTATTATTATATGTAATATTTCATTGATGCCATCCCTAAGTAGAAAAGATCACATCTGTTGGTTTCTACTAATGTTGGCTCAAGGCCATCATTTAGAGTTTTTGGAAGAGCTTGAATTCAACATGACTTTGTAAGAATAGTATAAAATTTTTTAATGCCACAAAGCTTAAAAAAAATTTTTCTCATGCTTCATTGCTCACCAACTATTTAAAATCTGATGAAACTGGAAGCTGGTGCTGATAAAAATTCAAAAAAATTAAAAATATGTTCCAACTGAAGTTTTTATCAGTAAATTAAATTTTGATCTAATTATTTTATTTCACTAAAAGGAATGCTTTTACCAATACTTAAAAAAATTCTACAGTTGAAAGGCTGTGAAAAAAAAAATGTTACCAATTCTGAAGAGAAATTCTTGGTGTTTTGTCTCATTTTGAACTATAAACAATTTAGGTTTTATTTAATTAGTGTGCCAAATCTGTAATTGAATTTGAAAAAGAAATGTTGCAGGCTTAACACTGAGAAAGACAAAGTAAATCCATTTAACAGTTTGAAATCAATGAAGAAAATATATTTCTGTGCAACAATTATATTTTTGCATTGATCTTTTGATGATAACAGTATGAACAAGAGAGAGAGAGACTACTCATGACAGATTTTAAATAACTTTTTTTTTCACAAAATAGAATGAAAGGCTGCCAAAGGTAGTATGCTTCAACTCTCAAAAACTATCTTTAACAGAGAAACAAAGAATTACTTTAATTAAAACCAAATTAAATATGAACAAGTGGTAACTTTAAAACAAGGTATGTTTTAAGAAAGATCTTTGTCTAATATTTCAGGATCAAGTTAAGGTTTGACAGTCAATTCTTACAGATGTCTTCTAAGATAAAAAAAATATTCAAAAATTTTTATATAGATTCATACAAATTGTAGTAACTAACAAAATATATAGCAGACATAGTTCTCTCGTACAATAAACCTGTCTCTTAAGAATTGCTAAAATACTTCCAGAGAGCATTTCAACTAAACTGCTTTTAATTGAAATCAAACTATTAGGGAAGGTTTTATAGAACCTACTTATTTTATTCTTGACTAGTATATATATAGAACATTATTACTTAAATATGAAATTCAGGTTTCTTTTCATTTAGCTTGAAATGTAATCAAGCGCTATCTCTGCTGAAGGCAACTTCATTATGTTCAAGCCATAAATTACACCTCAGTAGTCATGATTCCGACCTATTGTTTAAAAAAAAAAAAAATAAAAAAAATATACTTCAATTATACTTTGAAGATCTACACAAAAAATAAAGGGATATTGTCAAATTTCAATACTGTTGTAGTTAAATAAATATAACCCAATAAGCTATGTCAATAAAGAGGAAGAAAATTCACTGATGCAATATTTAGTGAACTCAGTCTATTAGTCTCATCTAGTCCATATTATTTTTTTTTAATTTGTTATATCAATAATACAAACATGAGTGACAGATTATATACAGCAACAATCACTAATGACCAAAAAGGAATGCCTGTTCTGATTTATTAAAAGCATTAGAATTCTTAAAGTTTATAACTTAAAAAAATAAGTATATAGAAACCCAAAAGAAAAAAACATTATAGTTACCTTCTCTTTTATTACTCATGAACTACTTTCAAAATGGCTGCTTCTTTGGAAGTACAAAGAAAGCAAAATAGCTGTCATATAATTTCTGTTTTTAGAAGGAGAAAGTGCAGCAAACATTCACAGGATATTAGTTAATGGAATAGTAGCACTCAATATAAGAACAATAAGGAGATTGCTCAGTAGATTTAATGTAATGAAAATTTTATAAAGAGAGAAATTTTATAAAGAGAGAAATTTATCTTAGTGACAGGTTCTACAGTGGCAGACAAGCTGCTGCTGTAAATGATGATAAAGGTCAAATAGGTTAATGACCTTATTAAAGATAACAGAATAATCAATATTACAAAACTGTGAAAGCATTCAAATAACCCATGATAGTGTTTGCTGTTTAGTTCAGTCTTGGATACTCAAAAATCTATGCAGAGTGGGTTCCAAAAATAGTGACAGATTCCATGATGGAACAGAGTGGCTGCTGTCCAAGAGCTTCTGGAGCAGGGCAACATGTATAGCGGCTTTCAAAACAGGCTATTAGGTGAAAGAGGCCACAAGCACATGGTTAGAAGTTTCTGTGAGACAGATATACATTTTCTGATTTAGATCTGGTCAGGCTTAAGTCTTCTACTGGTAACATGTAACTTAGTACAATCTGCCACATGAATGGGTGGTTGGTGTTTAAACAAGCTCCCCAACTAGCTTTTTCAGCTTGTGAGGAGGGTGGCATGTCAACCCCACAGGATGAAAAACAAGACCTGTCAAGGGGCAGATGAGCTCTGTATAAGAGCCAACAGGTATGTATATAATATATATGACCTGACAATTGCATTTAAGCATAAAACAGACTGTCACTATTCAGTGTTGAGTTCAATGTCCATGTTTATATTTACAGATGCTCTGTTACTGATATTGAGCACTTTAACCCATTAGTATAACATATCTCAAAACTATATGTTTATCATATATATAAAGTTAGGATGGGGTGTCAAGACTTAAATGGAAACCTTCAATGGTATCTTAATAAAAACACTGTTTACTTGGACGACCATGAGTGTCTGAGTTGGATGTCAGGAAGATCATCCAGCCTTGTAAAAACCTTTCCTCAAATCATTATGACAAATCCTTTGCCAGGCAGTATCCACCTTGCTTTTTGCGAGATTAATCCTGGTCCAGCTATATAAGTATATATGTATATAAAGATAGGATGACAAGAGTGAGAAGGAAGGTGACTATGCTGATGAATAGATTTTGAATTCTGACATGGTTTTGCTCAATTTGGGATACTTTGTGCATTTTTATTGAATCTGCTATAATTAAAGAACATTACTTTTTAACAAAATGTAAGACATAAAAACGTGAAGGTAATTACTGATAGTACCGAAATCTTTGCTTTCTATAATCAAATTTTAGTTGATCTAAACTTCAAAACACTTCATGACTATCACAACAAAGTGTTAAAAAATTAAAAAAAAAATAAAATAAAATAAATAAATAAAAAAATGACATGCAAAATAGTTTGGGACAAAAGGAAAGAATCAAATTCAATGATGCAATCATTTTACTTGAATTGGTTTCTTTTTCTACTCCCATATTCCCCAAATAGATGCTTATGAATTTAGATTTAAACAAACTAGAAATGCAATATTCACATATTTTTTCTTTTAGGTATAACTAGTTAAATGTGAAATATATGTTTCTTTTATATAATTATGCTTTTAAAGGACTACATTTTGGTTCCTTCAGACAGGAATCCATTTTTATTTATTTGTTTCTTTTCTTTACTAATCTTCATTTTTTTTCTTTTTCTTTTTTGCTAATCAAAAAAGTTGTGTTGAGAAAGAAGATTTATCTGGGATCACCTCGTTGCAAGATTCATACTGCAGCAAAATCCCAAAGCCTGCAGAACAGCGTATTTGCAGTACACCATGTGTTGGAGAATGTGTGGTTAGTGAATGGTCGGAATGGACAAAGTGTAGTGTTGTAAGTATATTTTTCATAATTATCATTAAATTTTTGTCTTTTTTAAACAACATATTCATATTGTATTTAGTGTTATTAATATTGATGTAATTATTGACTAAAATATTGGTAAGGTAGTTAATATTATTGATAATATTTTTTATGAAAACTATTTATAAAATAAAATTTGATAAATGTTACAGATTCTGGTTATATTTGGAATAATTTGTACTGACTGATGACTGACAGGAGCATGTTGATTGGCAACTCTCTTGAGTCATATTTCATGCATCTTTTAAAACCAATTCTAAATTTTCAGTCATTCAGATCTTATGTTCTTCAAATATTGGGTAAAAAAAATAAATACTAATTTATCCTAAACTTCAAAAAAGACCGGTAATTAATGAGAAAATAATCAACATAATATAAATGAAAAAAATGATTCAAATGTTATCTTTTTTTCTTGTGTGTGTGTATATATATATATATATATACACACACACACATATATATATATATATATATGAAAGGCCAGGAGTTTGGCATCACATTCTGAATTTCAAAGAATTGCCTAAATATTGAAGGTTACATGCATTCTTCAAGACTAATTTACTAGCTCACTTCAGGTTAGAGAAACTTCCCCTTCCTGAAGGATTTCATCATATATTCAGTGATAATGGTAATATTAGTTGTTTCCTTATAGGGAAACATTCAGCATTCATTATTTGAGCATTCATGGCTGCTGTTGGTTAAAATTCATAAAATCTTTCTCTTAAAATGATTTTTCAGAAAAATAGGTTTCTCAAGTCCAAAAGCTGAAATTGCTCTTTCCAGTATTAATGGAGGTTTCCTTTCTAACCTTTTGTTTGAGGTAGTGTGGAATGTTGGCATCTTGATCATGCTTTTATTTTCTCTGAGTTACACGAACCATGCATTATAGTTGTTGCAAGTCCTCATGTGATATGGTTTCTATTATAGGTATATTTTTTTTGTTATATTGTAATGCCAGTCCATGAGCTTTGAAAATAACTAAATTAACCTATTACTGCATAAAATTTCCTTACAATTTTAATCTTTTGCTTCATCTACCTTGATGGATGGTAGTAATCTTAGGGATGTTGGATTTTAAATTTTATGTAACACCATCTCTAAAACACAAAGTATCATACACTAATGAACTAAATAGTTTTAGTCCATCCTGGGTATGACGATAAACTACATCCGTGTCCTGGGTAAGATGATAAACTACGTCCAGCAGCAAGGCCTCTGATTAGGAGGTTTTGAGGATCATGGAACCACCTCTTAATTGCTGGCATTCCCAGGTCCACCCTGACCTAGGGTGGTAGCATCTGTTAGGGTCCCAGCTATGGGTAAATAGTTGACACCCAAACTTGTGTAAAAATTGGTTTTAATACCAGAAATACTTTGTAATAAAAGAAAATATTACCAGCAATAATTTTTGAAGGAAAAATTATTATCAGCAATACTTTAAAAAAAAAAAAAAAAATTACCAGCAATACAAACAGCTATACATTCTTTGAAAAAAAAAAAAATTACCAGTTATAGATTTCTTCAATGAAAAATATTCCCAGAAATAGATTTTTGAAAAAAAACATTACCAGCAATAAAAATTTTGTTGGCATCAAATAACCCATTGAGGTTGATATGCTGTAAACCAAACCAAACATAAATAATTTTAGTATCCTAGCTTCATAAGTTAATTAAACCGAAGAAGGTATTAAATTTATAAATTATTAAATTCAGGGGGTGGGCTGTATACTTTTGGCTTATAGTGTAGGTATTTACCAGGGTCTCTATGTTGTGACACAAGGTTAATGTTTAAAGTCAGTTTAATAGCAATACCATGAAAAAAATTGCCTAAGCCCCGTCCCGTTGGAACTTCCCCTTTTGAGTACACCTCAGCCACCTGGCAATGAACTCAGTCTCCTCCCAAAGAGTGCTACTGCCTGGGGGTAGAAAGTCCATCAGGCTTGGGCTTAATATATTTTAAACTTGTACCTGGTAAGTATAGTTTAATTTGCATCCAAAGATACTTTTGTACTAAACACAAGTTCTATTAGGAATCGTTATATTGGTGAGAATTTTTCAACTTATAAAATGTGTAGTTTAATCATTTGTTTTGGTTATTTTTCATGTCAAAGTTGTTTGGTAAATTGATTTCATGAAAGCCAGAAAGTGATTTTTTGTAAGTGTTTTTTTTTTTTTGCATTATTTGTTGGAACTCAAGTCAGGTTTTTAAAAAGTTTTGTCACAGTGAGATTTTCATATGGATGTCATGCATTCTGCCAGACTTATTCAGAAATATCTAAACTGACAACTCTCTACATTCATTTTTCACATCAAAGATTAAAAAATGGTTTTGTGCAAATAAAGATTTTAGCTCTTAGCAAACAATAACTTTCTTCAAACTTTGTGGACTAGCACTACAGAACCAGAAACAAAGAACTGTACCAAGTAACAGAGACTAAATCCCTTGAGAATTCTCAATACTAGTAACAACTAAAATGGATAGTACATGTAAAGTTGAGGGGAAAATAATGACATAATCAAGATACTGACATTCCACATGACTTCAAATAAAAGGTTAGCAAGAAACCCTCCAACAATGCTGGAAAGAACGATAAGAGTTTCTGGACATGTGAAAACTATTTTCCTAAAAATTATTTTAAGACAAAGCTTTTATAAATTTTAACCAAAAGTAGCACTGACTGCTTGTTCAGAGAATGCTGAATGTTTCCTTATAAGGAAATGGCTAATATTAAAATTAACATTATAGATGAAGAGAACAGATTACTTAGTGTTTACTTGTCCTCACATTTCATGGTGAAATGATATAGCACAAGGCTGGTTTAAAGTGGAGAGCCCAAGAGAATGCATATGGAATAAAACCGAAAACTGCCCAGACCCCACAACCAACTCATGCTGGTGTTGATATTCCACTGACCCAAAAACATTAATAATGAGTGGGAAGAGAAAAGAGTAATCAGGAGGACTGTAGATAGGCATTGAATTTGAATTTTTGCAGATTAAAGTTGGCTGGAAAGCATGGAGCTGGAGGGGAGTTCTGCAAGCAAGAAATGGGAGAAAAGAAAATGTTAGCATAGAAATTACAGCTACATCTAGCCAACTCAACTTTACATTGATGAGATTGCAATGTCAGTCTATTACTGTACTTAAATTCAAAAAGTCTAGGTATCATAGTGAAGAGCAATATTTATTCTGTTATCTACAGAAATGTGGCACAAGGCCGAAAAGGGGATTGGGGAAAGGACGGTCTTCTTCTGTCTTAACTATAACTTAGCTAGCCGCAAGCACTGACCCAATCGTATGAAACAATAATCCTTCCACCAAAACAACACATCCATACGTACCTTCCTTACTACAACCACCATAATACCTCTTTGACTATGAAAGTACTAACTAGTCCCCATATTTACAATTCGATGTCTGTGTGGGGGAGAGGGGAATAAAACAGTGAAGAGCTCATCTGAACAATTACCATGAAAGTATTTATAGAAAAGCTACAGAGAGGCAACCTTATGGTGTAGGGAGAGTGACTGAAGCCAAGATGCCAGATCAGGACCAATAATATTTCTGATTCTTCTTTAGTATTTGCTTTTCTTTAAAGAATATTATGGTAGTAATTTTTTTATTGCAACCATCAAGAAATTTATACAAATCATATTTAAAAAGAATTGTTCTTTATTTGCATGAGAGATTCAAAAAGGACTTTACATGGAGGTCAATGGATAGTAAATTATAGTCATTTTTTTTCTTCTTTATAATGGTATTTACTAAACATGACTAATTACAGTATGAGATCTCAAGTGTAGGCCACCCAGTTAGGATTGAACTGACAACGTGATGCTCAGTGACTTTCATAACCTGATTTCATGATATAGAAATAAAATGTTTTAAATTGTCAAACAACTGATTATTTTCTTGGTCATTTCTAAGAAGGAGTAGCAACCAGAACTTTTTTTCTTGTTTCAAGAATGGATGGAAGAATTTACTGATTGGAAGAATATTTATAACAAGAATATTTCCTATAAAAAAGATATAACTTTGAAAGACAAGGTGAATAAATAAATTTAAAAATGACAAAAAATAACCAGAATAATTATGAATTTTCAATCCCCACTCATTGCTAAGCATCAGAGAAAATTCTGTGCAATGCTTAGTATAACAGGCTAATTTGATTCTTTGCCAATTTTATTTACCTCTAGAGATAACAAGTTTTTCATATTTGTTGCTGAAGGCTAATGAGCCAAATTTGATTCTATAATATCAATACTTACCAAATGGCATAACAAACTTTTATCTCTATTACTGCCTTTTTGTAGCATCTTCTATTTCAAAAACAAATCTATGTGCCTCATTTGTGAATAAGAAAATATTGCCATAAAAATAATATATATTAAACATAAAAAAAAAAAAAATTTAAAACTTAACATCCGTGAAATTTGAAATCGGGAAGCTATCTGCTCATTCAAATGATGGGTAAACAGTTCAATTCCTGCAAAATGTTAAACTAGGAAGAAAAATGTTTTAATTTTTTTTATTTTACTTGTTAACTACCAATGCTATTTTTCTTAATATTTAGCATTTTACTTACAAAGACCACTCGCTTTAAAAGCATTGTCCTCTGGAAATACACTAGTCAATCATTTTTTTTTTTTTTTTTGCTAAACAGTCTTTGTTGTTATATACATTTCAGCATACCAAACAAAGTTTAATGATCAAACTTAGCTTAATCAAAAGGAACATGAAGAAAGCAGGGATGTTTCACCATCGTGAACATGGTATAGCAGATCCTAGCTGGGAACCTCCAAGCTGGTGAAACTAAGGAATTCATATATATATATATACACTAGAATAATTACATTCTTTTTCCTTACAGTTTGATGCTACTCCAAGTTTCATGCATTTCTCAAATGTCAGTCACAAATTAAAACTGTCTGATCTAATGCTTCTTTATAGGCAAGTCAATGTGGTAGGAC